ATTCTTACTAAAGCCTGTACAGTCACTCTCCATTCTGATTTCACTTGCAGTGAACTGGGGGCACTGATTATTTTTTTAACGATTCCCAGGAATAAGATCTAGGATCGCTCAGCAGAGTTTAATGTTGGAAAGTACTGCAGCTGCTGGCTACAGTCACTATCATACATGTCTGACGAGCTTTTGCTACATCTTTGGGAACATCATTCTCACCCCACTTGGGGAGTGCGGGAGACCACTGTGGGAGCAAACAGGAGAGAAGAGTATCTTGCATCCAATTCTTCATCAATTCTTCTGTTGTGGGATGACTGAAAATCATTCCTGCATGAAGTTTCCACCTTCCTCTCCCGCTGTAGTGGGCAGAATGATGACCCCCCCGGAAAGATATGTCCATTTCCTTATCCCTGGAACCTATGTGTAATACTTTATTTGGAAAAAAAGGTATTTGTAGATATAAATGACTTAAGGATTTAAAACAAGAAAACCTTCCTGGATTATCAGGATGAGGCCTAAATTCAAACACAGAGGACAGAAACACATAGAGAAACACACAGAGGACAGAAAAACTCTTACGTCCCCTTAAACCAGGGAGCATGAGGCCGAGGTGTGAGCTTATCTAACCTGATGTGCTGCTCATTCCTTCTGGCTCCCATTGACCTCCAGAGGAATCAGCTTCTGCCTTAACAGCATTCTCTGTGAACTGTGGAGACCTGGAGTGCCGCCTGGAGAACGTGCCAGCATCACAAACCACAAAACTGGCAAGAGTGGTGCAAAAGGAAAAGTCGGGACCCTTAGAACCATTAAGAATTTCAAGACAGCAACAGTAAAGCATTAACTCAAATGCAGAGCCCTTCTAAGGGGGGCTGGGGGGGGGCCGGGGCAGCTGCACAGGGTGCACGCAGATGAGGACAGCCCTGCCCCCACAGGCCTGGGATAATTCATCTCAGATCCATGTCTCCCACGCTGCACTGACCTTATACTTCTGACAGCAACGCTGTTTTCTGCACCCATATGGGCCTGCAGAAATGTCTAAACATCCGTTTGTATGAACTATTCATCTGAGGAACTGCGGAGGAGGAGTCTTCTTTCCCTCCAACCATCCCACTGCAGGCACCCCAGGCCCACATGGAACCCTTCCTTGATCTCCAGTGTTAGCTCCGAGGGAGAAGCCCACGGTGCCCTGCTCTTCCACGGGCCATGCTGGATTCTACTCTTACTACAGAGTTACAGCCGGGTTCCCACTGTTCCACATCCGCTAATCTTCTCAAGGTGGAGTCTGAGCAATGTCTCAGGCCCTCTGAATCTGCTCTTGTCATCTTCCAAGCCAAAATTTGACCTTTCCAGGAGTGGAACACGATTCTTCTTCTGCCCTTGCCTGGGAAGAACTGTTTTTCCTTCATCCTTTCTGCACTGCGCCTCTTCAAATGAGGGTCTTTGTTCCAAAATAGAACTTATGCCTTTGTTACACAAAGAAAGCCTTTTGGGGAATAAAACAGAATACCATTCTCATCTCTCCTCCCTCAGATACACTTCTTTAAAAGCTACCTCACTGTGAGATTTTAATTTTTAATCAACTTTCTATCTCACAGCAAAACAAAAGCTTCTTTATTACAAGTAGAATTTACCTTTCCCCAAAGTGATCACTATCAGTGAACAATACAGCACCTTAAAGAAATCAAATAATGAATATAAAACATTTCACAGATACATAGCAGTAATAAGTGCTAAATAAATGACAGTTGCCAATTATCACTATTATTATCTGCATTATTAGCAAGATATCATTTCGTATTATTTTCCCCCTTACCCTAGTTCCAGATGGAAAGTGGTGTGAATATTCTTCAAACTTTGAAAAATATATGGCCCAAAGAAAGGTATTTTGTCAATTAAATAACTTTTGCATAGTAAGTTCAGAAAATAAATTGTTGTTCCTGCCTCTCTGATATTACCAGATAAGCAAAGATCAGAACTGCACATAGATTATAATGATAAATGAGGTCACTGATATTCAGCCATTTTATCTATAATACAGTTCAATCTAAGAGTAGAATGGTCTAGGTGATTTTTTTCATTTTTATTAGGTCTCTTCCATTCACAAACCAAGCTACAGAAGAGGTTGCCGTGGTAACCTTATGAACCAAACAGGATCACAGAATAAGAATTGAGAGAGACCTAGTCCAGACTCATCAATTTGCAAATGAGGACTTAAGACTCAGAGAGGCCAAACAAGTTTCCCACAATACCACAGCCAATTAGCGGCAAAACTAACTTTATTGCACCATGCTTCTTTCCACACCAGGCTGCCTTGCTTTCTTCTTTGTCATAAAATATGCTTTCATATTTGTCAAAATATGTTTAGAACATCCCAACTTCAGAGAAATCAGTGCTCTGAGGATGGTATTAAGGCAAATGCTGAAGGTTAGATGAAATCTGGAATAGAAGCATGTTTTTTAAAGACTTTTGATCAATGACAATTAAACCTTTAAAAAGAGAAATGTCAAAATGAAGGTGTTTGCTTTTTGGACATTATTATTTGGAGATTCTCCTGAATTAGCTATTTTTAAAAGCTCCCTTCATATGACCCCACTCTGAATTTAAGATGTGTATTTTTCAGTGTCTTTTGAGCTAACAGCTTCTGGCTCATGCTTTACTTTTATTGTTTCAACATTATCTTCAAACCTCAACTTATTTGCAAGTATAATTCATAACTGTCTCTAAAATAACATGTCAAACAAGACAAAAAAGAAATATTTTAAAAAGCTCCAACCTTAGTGCTTTGCACTCATTATAGTTTGCAAAGGAGAAAATATTACCAACTTCAATTTCCCAAAGTACTAACAGCAGATTCATGTGTGATGTTACTCTTAGAAGCTGTCACTTGTTAATACTACCCAGCTGTGGTCCAAGTTAGGACTTTCACCATAGGCCCAATGTTAGTATCTTGACCAAATTAATTCATGTAATCTAGAAATACCCTGCCAGATTTCTATTCATAATCGCAATATGCAGCTGAGGAAATGAGTTCAGAATGGTTACATGATTTGCCAAGGTCATATAACAAGTAGCACTCAGTCTGAACGGAGAATGTAGAATAGTTATGAGTCTTCCCACCAGACCACTCCACAACCAAGCCTAGGTATGTTCATCCCACTTACTTATGTCCCAACTGGGACAAGAGTCTCTAAACTATTCATAAGTCCCCAGTTTTACATGAGAAACTGTATGTGAATATTCCATTCTATTTTCAGAAGATGAATCAGATGTCCCAAGTGGAGATCAAAAATCATGGCAACATGCCCGATAAATATCCTGTTCTGCAGTTTATACCTTTCCCCATTACCGTCTCAAATAGTGATTTTTTTTTCATTCACAAATTCTTTGACACTCTTTCCCTCAACAAATACAGGATAAGTTCCCTTCCCTTCAGAGTGGCCTATATTCAGTGAGTGAGCAGAAGATGACAGAGTGACAATGTGTGACTTCTCAGTCTTGGTTACAGAAGAAACTGCAGTTCCTTCTTGCTCTCAGTGGATCTCTCGCTAAGAGGAAGCCAGCTGCCATGCCATACAGAATTCAAGTAGCCCTGGGAATCATCTCTTCAGGAACAGGGAGGCCTCTTGCACTCCTGGAAGTGACTCTGACAGCCATACACCACCCAACCCAGTGCAGCAGCGCAGCTGACCCCTCCTCCTGAGGGACCTTGATCTAGAACTACTCAACCATGACACTCCTAGATTCTCAAAATTAAAAAACAGTCAGGTAAATGTTTATAGTTCTGCACTCCTAAAATTTGGGGTAATTTGTTACGAAACAATAGAAAGGCAGCATTTTTATTCCTAAACTATGCTTTTTCAATATATTTATTAGTATCTATTAATTTTACACAATATTTGGTTTCAATATTTTCGTACATACATATAAAATAATTTGAACTTATCCATCTTCTTACCCTCTCTTATATCCTCTCGCTCTTGACTTTATTTCCTCCCTCTTGTCTAATACTCCCTTCTACTTTAATTTTTTTAAGAATCCACTCATTAGGGATAACATGATACTTGTCTTTCTGACTCTGGCTTTTTTTAGCTTAACATGATGCTTCTAATTTCATCTATTTTCCTGCAAGTGATATGTAAATTATGCCTTTTTATAGCCAAACAAAGAGCTGAACATGGTTACATAAGCCAATGCACGGATAAGTCAAATATTCTGCGTGGTCCATGCTCACTTAGGACACCCCAGAGGAGGAAGGACTGGACAGTGTTCTCCAGACCATGGGCTTGCTCAGAAGAGAGTGTAAGGTTGCTCCTTGACCACTCCATCATACCCCTCATGCCACGTGGTATGAGGCAGGCAGTTAACAGACTGACAAAAAGGAGCAAAGCCCTTCCCTATAAGGTACAAGTGCTTTCTTTCAGGGCATAGCTTCTGTGTGATGATAACCAGAACACCACGATGACATGCACTACTAAGTACCTCAGCGGTTGAAGGTAGAATATGTCCCTGAGGAGCAAGAAGTCAATTGTTTCTTTATTTTTCCTTCATCAAGTTGAATGTCGTGAGTAAATGATGTAGTACACTCAGTGGGCTTTATGAGTGAAAATCTCCCTGTGGAAAAGTAATTTGTCCTACAAGGTAAGAGTGGCCCCCAAACAGCTAAGAAGTAAAATATCAACATCATAAGGCTAAAGGACATCAAGGATCTTGTCAATCAAAATACACATTTTCTTCTAACTTTAGCCAGAGGTAAATTCAACATAAGACAACTAGAGAGATAGGAAGTGTTGGGCTGGCTTTTCCATCTTCTCTTCAAACTCTAAAGAGAGCATGACTTTCATAAAGATGAGATTCTTTAGTAATGTCCATTCATTGTCCACCACCACAGCTCCTAAAGAGTTCACGTGTGACTTCTTACTGGGGCCCATTCTGGAAACGAAGATACCCTTCCCCTGGCCCAAACTACAGAGAGATGTCAAGCTCGGGAGAATAGGAAACATGATGCTTACCCAGCCCCTTGTGGATCTGAGTCTTGTCTTTCGAGTGCTTTCTTTTTCCTCGTTGCTCCAGGAATGGAAGACCTCCTATGGTTTCAAAACACAGCTTCTTGTTGATAAAGAGGAAGAGGACTGCCAGAAGAACAATGAAGACCCCAACAGCAGACAAGAGCCCAATGGCTTCAGGAGTGACTGACGAGAGAACACAAAGAAAAAATATCACCACAATTCAATGGATCCAACTTTTGGTTCTTTATTTTTATTGATTAGAATGACAAACACTCTACAAGTCCTTACCCCAACTAAAATCCCCAGGACTATGTATGGGGAAAGGAAGAGGACCTGTCATCTGGCAAGGCTGACTTATATAACAGACCTCCATACTTCTGCATGTATAGTTTCTTCTACCCAGAGTACAGCTCTTCTTATGCCTGGCATCATCTTAGGGTTCAACTTTAAATGCACACACTTTAAGAGAGAGCCATCAAATAGTTCAAGCTGGAAATAGATGACTGATGCTATAAAAGCAAATCTCAGAAAACTACAGCTGCCTGAAGCTTACAAAACAAAGTTGAGACAAACTTTCGGATGGATACTTCTATCAATATTTGCAATTAGAAGAAAAGTCACTTGCTATTTACTTACATTTTTGTAAAGCCAGCTGTGTGATATGATGGTGATTATCAATGGTAGTACATCAATTAGTAATGCCGTCTATATAGGAATTAAAATTTTTACTAACATTTCAAAATTTGGGAAAATAAAATTCTACTTTCTCCTTATCCTCTTCTTCTAATTAAAAAAAGTTGATCTTAAAGTGGCATTGCTTCAATATTACTCAATGTACTTTAAACAGTCAATAAAGAAATCCAGAAATTAACATTACAGAATATATGTCAAGGGGCTGGGGATTTAGCTCAGCGGTTTGGTGGCCTGCCTTGCAAGCACAAAGACCCGAGTTCAATCCCTGGTACCAAAAAAACAAAAAAAGAACATATGTCAATAAGAGTGATTCATGGGAGCAAGTTACATGTGAAAGTTTATGAAATAAATTATCCTATGAGCAGCTCTAATTCTTAAGCAAGTTTAATTTATTGTTTAATAATATGAAGGTGTAATAATCACCTCACCTCAGCATTCTGATAGAGAAAGTATGAATCAAACCTGTCCAAATCCCATGAAAATATAAATGATAAATGATACTCCATCTCTGAAGCAATCTAGTGGCAAGCCAATATAAGAACAAAACAGAGGAATAGCAGGCAAGAAAAATCATTTTACAGACTTTTAAATGACATATCTGCTATCAAAATAAGCATCTACTATGAAAATATATGCACACATTGATTATCTCCTCTCCTGTTAAAGGCACTGTGCAGTAGTAGGAGCGACAGGCATAGACAGGCTCAGCTGTCCCAGTGCTTGGGTCAAAAATCGCACTCTACCACTTATTATTTGTGTGGCTTTGGGCAAATTATCAACCTCTCTCTGCTCCAGTTTCTTAAACTATAAAGGAGAAAAAGGGACCTAAATCCAACGACAAGTGTCCTTATGATGAGAAAATAAGACACAAAGAGATGAAAGCTATGTAAAAATAGGGACAGAGATTGAAGTTGTGAAGCCTAACTTAAATCAAGGAACTCCAAGTGTTGCTGGCTATCACCAGAAACTAAGAAGCAAGCATGGAACTGATTGTCACTCAGGACCTTGGAGGGACCAATCCTGAAAAATACCTTAACTTAGAACTTCACACCTCTAAAATTGAGAGAATAAATTTTTGAGGTCCTAAACTACTGTATTTGTAGTGATTTGTGACAATTACTCTAGGTCAATAATATATAGTCAAATGATTTTCCATTACCCACAAGATAAAATCTATAAGAATTCTATAACTTGGTCTATAAGTCCCTTTACGACTCAACTATTGATTCCTGCCTTTGTCAGTCATCCCTTTCCACCATAAAATTCTTTTCACTGCTCTATGCATCTATTTCTTGTTCTCTGAACATAGCTCACCTCTAGACCTCTGTATATTCTCTTTCAACCCTATGGGATGATTGCTTGCCTTTCCTCTGGCTAACTCTGGCACTGCGCTTCCTCCAAAAGCCTGTCTTGCTTCTCTTGTTGAGGTTGCATGTGTGTTCCCACCCACCAAGCCCTTGGCAGCTTTGTCAACAGTTTTCAAGTGTTAAGTTTTAAATTTCATGAAGCAAGGCCTGTGTTTGAATTGTTCATTTATTCTCAGCAGCAGAAAAATGACAACAATTCAGGAAATATTTGTTGAATGAATAAATTTTGAAACTTCTTTGTTATACTACGTTGATAAATGTACATATCAATGAAAAGTCTTGGAAAGAAAAGATATACCTCAAGTGAGTCAGTAAAACTCTCAACACAGGGCATGATTTATGCAAAATACACCCTAGAAAAAAGAGGGTTTAGCTGTCATTCATAATCAGAACCATATGTACTTTACAATGCTATTCATTAAGCTAAATTTTTACTTTTGAATTTTAAAGGTTACTTTTCACTTATAAAAATAACATAAAACTTAGTACAAAAGATCTACAAAATATGGAGAAAAATCATCACCAAGTTTGTACTGATTTATTTCCCCAGAAAACTAATACACTACCTTAGGATCCAGCAGGAGAAAAACTTTACCTGCTAAAACCCATTTATTAAGACTAGGAGCACTCTTTGAAATAAATAAACACCAATACAAGCCTGCAAGAATCACAAAGAACTGAGCAAACATGAGACCACAAAAGGAAATGAATAAAGATCTAGAATTTGGCCTGAAAGAAATGGAAACTCATGAACTATTTAACTACAACACAAAGTTATCTCAAAGAAGTTTTGTGTGCTACAAGATAACCCAAATAACAACTTAATGAATCAGGAAAATGATATATGAACAAAAGAAGAAATAGAAACTATGAAAAAGACTAAAACAGAAATCCTAGAAGACACACTAAGATATAGTGACTGAACTGAGCAGAGAATAAATCAATATCAAACATATACAAAAGATTCATCTAGATTTAAGAACAAACAGAGGCTGAAAGTTGCAGAGGTAGCTGAAGACACTCCATTAAAATGGTAACCAAAGAACAGTGGGGTGACTACACTCATATCAGATAAAAATAGACTAAGCCAAAAACTGCCACTGGAGATAAAGAAGGGCATTATTCAATGAAAAAGGGTCAATTCACCAGAAATATATAATTATAAATATAAATGTACCCAACATCAAAGAACCTAATATACAAAGCAAATATTGACATATTTGAAGTGAGAAGAAGCAGCAGTACAAAAATAATAAGAGAATTTAATCTCTACAATGTATAGATCATCAGGATAGAAAATCAATAAGGAGGGCCAGGGATTTAGCTCAGCAGTTCGGTGGCCTGCCTTGCAAGCACAAGGACCCAAGTTCAATCCCCAGTACAAAAAAAAAAAAAGAAAAGAAAATCAATAAGGAAACAGCAGAGGTAAGCAACAGTATAAGCCAAATCAACAGAGCAGATGAATAGACAGTAATGCACTCAGCAATAAAATACTCTTCTTTTCAAGTGCAGACAGAAAATTCTTGTACACACAGTATTTTGAGTCACAAAATAAAATATAAGAAGATTCAAATCATTATAAGTACCTCTGGCCACAATGGAATGAAACAGGAAATCAATAAAAAATAAAACAGGTAAATTCACAAACACATGTTAATTAAACAATACACTCAAGTATTAGGCCAAAGAATAAATAAAAAAGAAATTGGAAAATATCTTAAGAATGTGATAGCCAGCCTGACTCCATTTGTGTAAAGTCAAGTGATTCTGAGTGGTTGCCTCCCCCTTCTTTCTTGGGAGTCCCCTCAGTTAATGCCTGACAGACCACCACATCCTGTTTGATAGAGCAATCTGCAACTATACATTATCTTTACAACCTTGTGAACAGGCTACTCCAAACCTGTGTGATATTTTGTTTCAACTAAACTGTGTGAAACTTTCCCTGACCCCCACTAATTTGGCAAAGTTTTGCTCTTGTGAAATTTCACTTATGCTCCCCTCTCCCTGAACCCTCCCCAATTAGAAGAGGCATTTAAAAGGAGCCCACAAGCCTGCTTTCCTCCTGGAGAGATTTTCCAGCGGGATCTGCTCTCAAACACTGGCAATACAGAATTTAAATTTGGAAAGATACCCAGCAGAGTGATGGTTGGGTCAAATGGAACCTCTAGTCCCAGCTCTTTGAGGTAAGAATTAAAAGAATCATATCGCAGAGATATACGCACACCTATGTTTATAGTGGCACAGTTTGTAACAGCTAAAACTTGGAAACAACCCATTTGCCCATCAGTTGGAAGCTGGATAAAGAAGATGTGGTTTTTCTATAAAATGGACTATTACTCAGCCATAAATAATGAGAAATTAGATTCATTCATAGGAAAATGGATACATATTGAGGATATACTCTTAAGTGAAATAAGTCACACATGTGTAAATACTGAATAGTTTCTCTGGTGTGAATAAACTATAATAGTACATAAGATCCTAATGATATAATTGACAATGTGAAATAGGAAGAAAGGGGCCAAAGGTGTAGGGAAAGTGGGAAGGGTAGGGGAAAGCTAATAAGGGAAAAGAAAAAATATGAGAAAATGAAAAAATGGAAATGAAGTGTTTGTAAATGAGGAGAGGAGGAGGGGGTGAAGGGAGGGCAGGGACAAGGGGAAAAAGAGAAACAAGCTGTCATATAAAGGTACAGGATCCCAGTGATGAATGTAACTGTACTGTATACCTAAAATGTACCAATAAACTCATGAGGAAAAAAAAAAAAGAATTAAAATTTGGCTCAGGGTGGTTATTCTCTATAACCTCTCGCAATTAAGTATAACAAGAAAAACAGCAATGAAACATAACATGCCAAAATGTACAGAATGCTAAAAAAGCAGTATTAAAAAATAAACTTATTTGCATAAACATTTACATTAAATAACGATCTCCAACAAAAAAAAATTCTGATTCTTAAAAAAATAGAAAAAGAATAAAATATAGCAGAAAGAAGAGACCAATAAAAGATAAACCAG